AAAACGAGTGCAAACAGAGGCATCCGATGGCAAGGCAAGGGCATTTTCGGGCGGAGCAACCGAGCATGCATGCGTCGTTTGCCTTCGAGGCAATTTACTTGCTTTGTTTAAATTGCTTTAGTTAGTTAGCGTAGGTAATTATTCAATTCAAGTGTTGTACTTAATTAGCTTAGCGTAGCTAGTTATTCAATTCGGTTTGTAATAATTAGCTGCAATGGTTAATTAGTTTCGTTTTGTAATAGTTAGCTTAATTAGCATAGCTAGTTAGCTTATTTATTCGGACTCTCTTTCCAGAGGGCGCAATGTTATAATAAGTGTGCGTGTGTGTGTGCATGTCTTCCAACCCCACGTCTTTCTCCCTTTTACTTAACTGCTTTCGATGGTTAGTTTAGGAGCATTTTCAATTAGCATACCCTATACTCGTATGTTTGCATCCATTCATTTGTCTTGCATGCACCGAGGCTCGGCGCATCATTCAAACTACATTACAATTCAATACTTCTTTGAATACGTGTTTATCGCATGTTGTTCAAATCAATCATATGCCATATTAGTAGCCGAGCCTATTAATTTCACATTGCATGTATTGCATTAGGCATCTTGTATAGTTAAGATCATGCATCTTTCTAACTAGTTTTTGTTTTGGCTTGGAGTACTCGGTGAGTTTTATGCTTTAGCATACTTGCATGAGTGTGATTGCCATATTACCATGATTCGCATGCATATCATAAGGCTATGTGCTTACTTGATAAACTGCATGAATGCCTGTGGATGAAGGCTTGTTGCTTGAACAGTTCAACGAATGTATGTTTTAAGCCCACTTTGTGAAGTGGCAAATCATGTTTTAAGCCCATCGAGTTTGATGGCAAATTCGCATTTTAGCCCACTTGAGGGTGGCAACTTCAAACCATTTTCGAAGACAAACATGAGTTGAATTCGTTCCAATTCTTGCGATTTTAGTCTATACTTGTATGTGTGCGTCACATAGTAATGTTAGCTAATAATCGGAACAAGAACACATAATGTTTATAAAAAAATATTTTCAAAACTTTGCTTTTTTGTATTTGCATATATCATACCGTGAAAACAATCAATCACCATGTTGGTTCCATTCTTATTGCACCCTATGTCACATTGACACTCGTACAGGTGTGGGGTGAGTTGCATACTTACTGATGGCTTGAGAACCAAGAGCTACACTCCTTTGAGCTTGAGAGATGATAAGGAGGGTAGCAGTACATACATTTCTTGAAAATGCATTGTTTTGCCTCTGTTTGCTCTCTGTTGCAACAAAAGGAGAAGTCTAGGAAAAAGGGTGGCCAACCAGCCACTTGATCTAGCCAACCGGCCAGTTAAGGTGACCGACAGCCACTTTTTGTAGCCGACCACCAGTAAATTTTTGCACAAATGTGTTCCTATGTTGGAGCAGAGGCAACCTAGGAGTTGGTACAGTTTTCAGTGATCAAAACGAGTGCAAACAGAGGCATCCGATGGCAAGGCAAAGGCATTTTCGGGCGGAGCAACCGAGCATGCATGCGTCGTTCACCTTCGAGGCAATTTACTTGCTTTGTTTAAATTGCTTTAGTTAGTTAGCGTAGGTAATTATTCAATTCAAGTGTTGTACTTAATTAGCTTAGCGTAGCTAGTTATTCAATTCGGTTTGTAATAATTAGCTGCAATGGTTAATTAGTTTCGTTTTGTAATAGTTAGCTTAATTAGCATAGCTAGTTAGCTTATTTATTCGGACTCTCTTTCCAGAGGGCGCAATGTTATAATAAGTGTGCGTGTGTGTGTGCATGTCTTCCAACCCCACGTCTTTCTCCCTTTTACTTAACTGCTTTCGATGGTTAGTTTAGGAGCATTTTCAATTAGCATACCCTATACTCGTATGTTTGCATCTATTCATTTGTCTTGCATGCACCGAGGCTCGGCGCATCATTCAAACTGCATTGCAATTCAATACTTCTTTGAATACGTGTTTATCGCATGTTGTTCAAATCAATCATATGTCATATTAGTAGCCGAGCCTATTAATTTCACATTGCATGTATTGCATTAGGCATCTTGTATAATTAAGATCATGCATCTTTCTAACTAGTTTTTGTTTTGGCTTGGAGTACTCGGTGAGTTTTATGCTTTAGCATACTTGCATGAGTGTGATTGCCATATTGCCATAATTAGCATGCTTGCCATGAGGCTATGTGCTTATTTGCTTAACTGCATGAATACATGTGGATGAAGGCTTTGTTGCTTGAATTGGAATAATTCAACAAATGTATGTTTTAAGCCCACTTTGCGAAGTGGCAAATCATGTTTTATGCCCACTTGAGGTGGCAAATCTGCGCTTTAGCCCACTTGAAAGTGGCAAATTCAAACCATTTTCGAAAACAAACATGAGTTGAATTCGTTTCAATTCTTGCGATTTTAGTCTATACTTGCTTGTGCGGGTCACATAGTAAAGCTAGTCTAATAACCGGAATAAGAACACATGAGGTTTATAAAATGACATATCATGATAGTAGAGATCGATCTTTTGATCGGGCCAGCAGGGGTGCTCATTTCAGGACCTTCCCCTCTCGTACCCAAGTTCTCGAGCCGAGGCAACTTTGGTGATGACAAACACGTGGCCTTTGGCACGAGTCAGGGTTTTCTAAATTTTCCAAAAACAAAATATTTAGGTGGTGACTCTATAACCTGGCAAAGCAGTCCAATTTTGGCACTTTTTGATTCAAAATCGATTTTTCAAAATGATTTGTCGGATTGGACTCTTTGGTGTTTATCAATTTCACATTGTACTTAGTGAGATTGGATTCAGAACTGTAACAGGAGTCCGAACTATAGGACCAATTCAAGCTCTCCGAAAGGGGGCGCGAAAAAGTCGAGCTACACACCGTAGGATGTGTGTGAACAAACAATTTCAATCATTGAAAGATAATTTGTCTCTTGAACATTTTTCAGCTGTTGGATTGAATTAATTTAACGGTTCACATTTTGACAAAGGGACAAAAGTCCCATCAGAATTAAAAAAACTACCCTTCCTTGTTATATAGATACGAATGGATTATGATTTTATTTTATTTTCAAGAGAAATTCTACAATACACGCTGGTGTATCATATACACTCCTAATTATGTCAATTTTTTTAATTATGACCACTTTTATTTTTTTAATTATGACATTATTTTAATTATGACTTAGTTATACCTAATATGGTATTTGATTATGATTTTTTTATTTTTTTTATTTTAATTATAATTAAAAAATATATGAAATTATATTATTTTCTTCTTTAATTAGAAGATACATACACCAATCTTTCCTTATTTTCAAAACTTTGCTTTTTTGTATTTGCATATATCATACCGTGAAAACAATCAATCACCATGTTGGTTCCATTCTTATTGCACCCTATGTCACATTGACACTCGTACAGGTGTGGGGTGAGTTGCATACTTACTTAGGATTTGAGACTCATCAAACTTGTAAAAAGGATCTTATTTATTTATATTTTTAATAAATTTTACATAATAAAATGACTTTTGCTATAAGACAAAAATATAAATGACAATGTTTAAGTATAATGATATAACAAAATTAAATTGATGAATATGTTGGCTAATTATCAAGTCTCACAAGAATAGTTAATTTATCTTGAATAATTGATATAAAATAGATTATAGACATTGCAGTTTAGATTTTTCATAAGACTTAATTAAGTGTCTAAGTAATTTGACGCAAAGATCAAAGACAACAGTTGTATAAAAGTTCGCGCTTAACTTACATTAGAGTAAAAGTCATTGGCGTTCACAACTTTAGCAAGAAATTTTTTTTATTAAAAAAAAAAAAGAAAAAGAAATAAGAACAAATCTACCTATAAAGATACTTCAAGTTATAATAATAAAATCACAAAGAGATAGGCCTAGTGGTTGACGATTGAGACATAGAGGTTTGCTCTATCTCCGGCCTCAAGGTCTATTACACGCAAGTTAGCTTAGGATATCTTACATAAAAAATAAAAAATAAAAATAATTTGTTATTGAAATTATAGAGGAAGTCCATATATTTGTCAGAAATCTCAAGAGGGTAAGTGCAATTTACCCAAATAAATAGTTTTCAACAAACCCCAAACTCTTATCAGGTGTTAGCCAAATTCATTAGTCTCATTGTATTAAAGATGAGTCCTTTTACGGATAAATTATAAGTCTATTATGTATTTTTTAAATTATAAATCAATTATAAAAAAATTAAATCGATACAATAATTCAAATCATGTAATTTCATAAAATTAATTTTTTAAAAAAAATAAACAATAAATATATATATTTTAAAGATAAATATTTTTTTTTAAAAAAAAAATTATTATATATAAGGGCTAACAGAATTAACAGAACGTGTTATCGATCCATCTCCTTACTCCTATTTTGCTTTTTTTACAGACTGAAATTTCGAGTAGCTAAGCAAATGTCCAAATATTTTTCCGATAGGAACAATGAACCTAGTATTAATGTTCGTTCGAGTGTTTTTGCTTATGTTATCAAAGTCTCAATTTGATCTAGTTCAAAAAAAAAAAAAAAAAAAAAATCTCAATTTGATCTCCCTCTGAGTAACAAACAGTTACGATGGCTTCAATGGTTGTCCAAAGAGCCAATTCCTCCTCCTCTGTTCTTGAGCTTTAGAGGCAAAGACACCCGCGATAACTTCATTAGTCATCTATACGCAGCGTTGGCTCTGAAGGGGATTCACACCTTCAAAGACGATGAAAAGCTCGAAAGAGGGAAATCGATTTTGCTGGAGCTCCGGAGAGCGATTCGAGAATCGAGCTTTCGTAAAACGATTCGAGAATCAAGGTTTTCAATTGCGGTTTGTCCAAGAACTGTGCTTCTTCCGGATTGTGCTTGGATGAACTTGTGGAGATACTTGATTGCAGCAACACAACTGTTTGTCCGATATTCTATCAAGTGAAACCATCGGAAGTGCGAAGCCAAACAGAGCCAAGCCAAATGGGGAGTTTTAGGGATGAATTTGAGAAATTGGTTTCCAAACAAGGAGATTTGGGGATAGAGAAGGTCCAAAAGTGGAGCAATGCTTTGGAGCAAGTTGCCAATTTATCTGGATGGCCTTACCCTAGTGATTCAATTGTTAGGTAATTAGTTACTTAAATAAAAATATTCTGCTTTTTTATTTATTTATAATTTACTAGCAGTTGTCGAGATAATTACAAAAAGTAAAAATAAATATAAAAAATTAAGAATTTGAACTTTATTTTAACATAAATTCTAAATTTTTAATGTTGTTATTGTAAATTTTAATATTTTAATTTGTTTTCAATTTAGGCCTATTTTCGTTAAATAAAAACTGAGAAAAAAAGAATATTTTAGTCATTAAACTCAATAAAGATATATATTAAATGTCTAAAATATTATTTTTTATTTTAACGACTAAAATATCATTTTTCAATTAATTTTACTTAGCAGACAAATTATTTAGATTGAAAATAAATCAAAAGTCAAGAGTTTAAATTGATAAAATTAAAAACTCGGTATTTTTTTGGTTATAAGGGTGCAACTTTGAGGAGTTTTTTTATTATTTATAATTTCCCCTAAAATAATTATGTTTTGAAATAACATTTCATAAATTTTAGTTTAATTATTTACGTGTATGTCTCTATACATTTATATGTCCTCATGTTCTATAATTATCTTCATCCATTGCAATGAGCAAAATTAATAATCACAGTTAAAATAATGTTAGTTTCACTTTTGAGTTTTGATGCACATGTGGGCCTAAATCTACAAGTTTGAATCAATGTTCATCCAGGAACTTCTTGGGATACCTTTTAAAAAATTAAACCATACATATTTGAGTGTTTCTAAAGACTTAGTTGGGATGCATTCTCGTATGGAGGAAATGATTGAATTGCTAGGATTAGGGATGGATGATGCTGGTGTTGTCAAGATATGGGGGATGAGTGGTATAGGTAAGACAACTCTTGCAAGTGCTATTTATGCCCATATCTCTTGCCAATTTGAAGGTTGTAGCTTCATTGAAAATGTTAGAGAAGTTTCAGAAAAATGTGGTCTGAAAACTCTGCAAGAACAACTCATTTCCGAAATCTTAATGGAAAAAGATATAAGAATAGGAAATGTTGGTAGTGCCTTGAGTACGATAAGGAACAGAGTATGCCGTAAAAAGGTTTTTATTGTTCTTGATGATGTGGATGAATCAACAGAACTTGAAAAATTGGTAGGAGAGCTTTGAAAAATCTAGAAATTCGCTAGATATTGATTTGTGATTATGTATCAATTTAAAGCAATAAAACAATCCCAATCAAACAATCAAGACAAATCGACACAACGATTTTAATGTGGAAAAACCACAATTGAAGCACCTCCAATTGTGATAAAAAACCACGAGCAACAGCCACAAAACAATCCACTAAGAAGATATAAAGGAATTACACAGGTATACTCTCAATTACCTAGCGAATCCACGCTCGAATTGAACCAACCTCTATGTGTCTCTTCCAGCCCCGTCTTCACCTCGAAATTGTCTTGACGATGAGCCACTCCAGAATCCACCAAAGCTTCTGGCTCAAATTCTTCAGAATCCACCGAAGAACAACTCTCTCTTTTGTATAGAATGAACAAACAAACCTTTGATGTATTCTTCTTAACCCATGAGTTGAATACTCAATAAACATCAAAGAAAACTAGCAAAATATCCTTAGGTGTAAACCTTAATATCCAAAAAGAAGATCTGGAGAAGTAATCCTAAAATCTGACAGAAACACGTACTTAGAAATCTGGGACTGGGACTGCGAAGCTCGCTCGAGCGAAGACCCTCTCGCTCGAGCGAGGAACCAAAAACGCGTGTTTTCTATAAGTGGCTTTGCTCGAGTCACATAACCTTTGCTCGAGCGTACATTCATCCTTCTCAGGGTTTTTGCCAGATGCAGCCTTCGCTCGAGCGAGAACTCTTTCGCTCGAGTGAGCAAGGGCGGACATGCAACTTCGAATGCAATTTTGCATTTTGCTTCGGGGGCGCTGCCCCTCGACCCCGCCTAGGCATTGCCCGGACCCGCCAAGGGGCGCTGTCCCCTCGAACCCCGCAAGCTGACCGGGCAGCTCGATCCCCGTCATAATCAACAAAGTGGCAATCTTGAAAGTATTAACATCACAAACTTCTCTACAAGGCATAATTCGGGTTGGATTCGCATCTAAAAACTCATAGCCTCACTGAAATAAAAAGTGCGAAAGCAAGTACAATTGAAAGGAGTTTTGTCAACCGGGATTGCCAAGAATAAAAACCTAACAATCTCTCCTTTTGGCAATGCCGTGACAAAACACACATAACAAATAAAAGTCTAATCACCCCAACCCATTACAGCCAACAAAAACAAACTTCTTTCTCAAGGTCATGATCTGCAAAAAGCTATTAGTGCCACAATCTCCAAAACAACTATTAGTCCCACAGGAGTATATAAAAAAGCAATAAACGTATGGCTAGATTATCTTGACGCATTTGAAGCATGAGATGGAAAACATGAATAGATACGACTTTGAGATTTTAAGAACATATAGCATGAAAACCTGAAAACTAAGACACATGCACCCGACACATGGCATGAATACATGAAATCCTAAGACACATGCACCGGACAACATTACTCCCCCTTTTTGTCACGAATTGACAAAGGAAGCTCAATCAACTAAAGCAAGATCAGAAACCACACAAACAATGATAAGATTATGTAAATATCAGGAGCATGCAAGAAGGAAATAATAAAGAAGCAGTGCATAGCATCATGCAAACCAACTAAAGCCAATCTCCTTTTCACTCAAAGCAACCACAAACACTGTACAGAAAACAATGAACAAGAAGAAACCGACAAAAATAATATGGTGGAGCAAGCAAGAAATCTCAAATTTGTACCTTAGAACACACAAGATTATCCAAGAAGCATAATTACTTGAAAACACAATGTACACAGCATCTAGAAGATTCCTCATAAAAGAAAGTGATGCATTATGTGAAAAGCATAGATCCCATGGTAAAAATGTGTGTGTGACTCTTGGAGTTCGACAAGCACTAGATTCAAATCCTAGTAGTGATCAGATAGCTGAACCTCTGTGAAGAGAATCTAAGCACAACTGCGGAAAGTCAAACCACTAGGAATCAAAGGGTATTTGGTGAGTAAAGGCGAAGGCTCCCCCTCAATCAATGAATTCTTTATTTTTCCCTTTTTTTTTCACATCTTTTTCTTTTCTTTCTTTTGCACATCTTTTTTATTTTTTTTTCTTTCTTTTCCACACTCATTGGCGGCTAACACGCTTAAGAGTATGGAAACCGAACCAGAGAAGTATGGATATAATAAGGATGGCCTGGTTGGTGACTCTGAAGTAGCCTTTTCCTCATGCTTGAACTACAAAAAACAGAGGGAAAAGCCATAGAGATGCAAAAAGATGGAAGGTGGTTTGAGAGACTCAACATCACCCATGATATGCTAGTATAGGTCAATTCCTCTAAAAAAGCAAAAGATACAATGCCAAAAGTCCATAGAAAAAAATAATCACTAAGGCGGAAGACTCCGATATTTGCTAATCCAAGAGTGTGTATAGACTGAGACATACTAATCAAATAACACACTCCGAAATGAGTAATGACCACAGAAAGTACACACATATTACCATGTAATGGATATTCTTATCAATTCCAATATGCACCAAGGACCACTCAAAAATTTTAAGCTTGCAAAACTATACTAAGAAAATCTTTTTGGTTTTTTTTTTTTTTTTTTTCTTTTTCTAAACAAAGCAAGACAGAAAATGAACATGCACACATTAAGTGACTCAAAGAGAAAAAAAAACACACATAGAAACCTAAAAACTAAAAAGAATATACAAATTAACACAAGTGAAGTTTTCGTAGCCAAACCGCTTTAGTATGAAGAAAGTTGTGAGAATTGCGGTTCTTGGATGGTATCTTGACGTTGTGGTTCCCTGTGCTTTCAATGGGAACCCGTCTCGACTTGGTTTCCAACTTCCTATTTCTAGGTCTAGGCAAATACAAACTCGTTCCATGTTTGGTCTCAAGCTGATCAAAATAACGAGGTCTAATATGACCTTTAACCTCATTACTACCAATGAAGCATCTCCTACCCCACGAGATGTTGGAATTTCTTCTATCTCTATGAGACACTCTCCCATGCAACTTATAACAATAAGGGCGAATATGACCATGCATACCACAATGATGACAAATAAAAACAGGGTGTACAGGGTGTACCTTTTTTTCTTTTACCTTACCAACTCTAGGAAGTTTGAAAAGTCCATCCTTATGTTGAATTTTTTGTTCTCCCTTTCCTTAAGTTCGTGTATCACGAGATGTAGATGCACTCTGTTTTGCTCTTTGTTATCACCAAAGCCAATGCCACTCTTGTCACAACACATTTGTTGAGACCCAATGATATCCTCCAAAGTCTTTGATCCTTTGTTCCAAAGACCAATGGTAGTCATAGCACACTTGAGCTCTTATTCTTTCTTGATCATTAGTTCTTTCAAGGCAACTTGAGACATCTCGAGGGATTCAATCTTTTCTTCATACATTGCATAGATTTGCTGTAGCTCATTCCTCTCTGTCTCACAAGTCAAGAGTTTTGCACAAAGAGCTTGTCAATCATTAGCTATCTTGATGGCATCAATCCTAGACTCAAAAATCTCCTCCTTAGTTTGACATTCTCACTTTCACATGCTTTGAGTTTCATAGTGAGTTTGTCATTCAATTTGGATAAGTTAAGAGATTCCTTATACAACTTTTCATAAGCTTGCTCAATCTCTTCATCATCACTTCCCGTGGATTCATCATCAGTGGCATTCTCAACCGGCCTCTTCGGATACTCTGTTCATCCTTCAGTTTCAGAAGCCGCCATGAAAGCAAGGAATTGTTTATGTCCCTCTTCACCTTGATCTTCATTGTCACTTTCATCTTTATCAGATTCTGATTCATCATCCCAAGTGATAGGGAGGGTTTTCTTCTTCCTCCAACGAGTGGGGCATTCTTGAGCAAAATGACCAAATCCTTGGCATTCATAGCATTGGACTTTTTCAGAGTTCCCTTGTATCTTTCCTTTCTCCTTCTTGGCTATAGAATTAATTTTCAGTTTATCTTTTCCTTTGGATTTATGAGTATGAGTAGATTCCAAAAGATTAGGATTCTTTTTCAGAAAAGATTTTTTAAATTGTTTTACAAAAGCATCAGTAATCTGGGAATCTATCTCACAATCCTCATCAGAATTCTCCCCAGCTCTATGAGCACTACTAAAAGCAACATCTTTTTGTTTCTTTTTGAAATTCATATGTGCCTCATAAGTTTTGGAGCTTTCCAACCAAATAATCTAGCTTGAGATTGTCAACATCTTGAGCCTCCTCAATAGCTGTAACTTTTGGTTGGAACCGATCAGTCAAGGACCTCAAGATTTTTCCTACAATCTTGGATTCCGATTTTTTTTCACCTAAATTGAAGCTGGAATTTACAATGTCACTCAACTTCGCATAAAATTCATCAAAGGTCTCACTATTTTTCATTGAAAGGTTTTCGAAACTAGACGTGAGCCTTTGAAGTTTTGAGCGTTTAACCGAAGGAGTGCCCACATAAATAGTTTGTAAGATATCCCAAGCCTCTTTTGCGACTTCACAATTGCAAATACGACTAAACTCTTTAGGTGTGACAGCGCAAAAGAGAGAATTGATAGCTTTACTATTCCAGTTACTATTTTGGTAATCAATTGTGTCTCACTTATCAATTGGTTTGGGGAAAGTTACTCCACCAATGGTAATCGTCGGTTCAGTCCACCCATACATGATAGATTGCCAAACTTTTTCATCAATAGATTTTAAAAACGATCTCATCCGAGCTTTCCAAAACGAATAATTGGATCCGTCAAGTAGGGGTGGTCGAACCATAGAATTTCCCTCACGAATTGAATCCATTATCATAAATCAAACAAGATCTCGCTCAAAAGTTTTAAAAAACAAAAGAGCGACCCGCTCCGATACCAATTGAAAAATCTAGAAATTCACTAGATATTGATTTGTGATTATGTATCAATTTAAAGCAATAAAACAATCCAAATCAAACAATCAAGACAAATCAACACAACGATTTTAACGTGGAAAAATCACAATTGAAGCACCTCCAATTGTGATAAAAAAAACCACGAGCAACAATCACAAAACAATCCACTAAGAAGATATAAAGGAATTACACAGGTATACTCTCAATTACCTAGCGAATCCACGCCCGGATTGAACCAACCTCTATGTGTCTCTTCCAGCCCCGTCTTCACCTCGGAATTGTCTTGATGATGAGCCACTCTAGAATCCACCAAAGCTTCTGGCTCAAATTCTTCAGAATCCACCGAAAAACAACTCTCTCTTTTATATAGAATGAACAAACAAACCTTTGATGTATTCTTCTTAACCCATGAGTTGAATACTCAATAACCATCAAAGAAAACTAGCAAAATATCCTCAGGTATAAACCTCAATATCCAAAAAGAAGATCTGGAGAAGTAATCCTAAAATCTGACAGAAACACGTACTTATAGAAATCTGGGACTGCGAAGCTCGCTCGAGCGAAGACTCTCTCGCTCGAGCAAGGAACCAAAAACGCGTGTTTTCTATAAGTGGCTTTGCTCGAGCCACATAACCTTTGCTCGAGCGTACATTCATCCTTCTCAGGGTTTTTGCCAGATGCAGCCTTCGCTCGAACGAGAACTCCTTCGCTCGAGCGAGCAAGGGCGGACATGCAACTTCGAATGCAATTTTGCATTTTGCTTCGGGGGCGCTGAGCCTCGACCCCGCCTGGGCGCTGCCCTGGACCCCCGCGAGCTGACTGGGCAGCTCGATCCCCGTCATAATCAGCGAAGTGGCAATCTTGAAAGTATTAACATCACAAACTTCTCTGCAAGGCATAATTCAGGTTGGATTCGCATCTAAAAACTCATAGCCTCACTGAAATAAAAAGTGCGAAAGGAAGTACAACTAAAAGGAGTTTTGTCAACCGGGATTGCCAAGAATAAAAACCTAACAAGCTTGATTGGTTCGGTTTTGGAAGTAGAATCATTATAAAAACTCGAAATCAACATACATTATTCAGATATGGCATAACACATATTTATAAGGTTGAGGAATTAGGAGAAGATGAAGCTATAGAACTCCTTAAATCGAAAGCCTTCAAGAAACACCAACAAATGGGAGGCTATGGAAAACTTGTACGTTGTGCAGTAGAGTATGCTAAAGGACTTCCTTTAGCTCTCAAAGTTTTGGGTTCATTTCTTTGTGGTCGAAACAAAGATGAATGGGACAGTACATTAAACAGACTGAAACAAAGCCCTCTAAATGAAGTTCAACAAGCACTCAGAGTAAGTTACGATGCATTACAATTGGTAGAGAAGGAAATATTCTTAGATATTGCACGTTTTTTCAAAGGGAAAGACAAAAATGAAATGGCAAAAATACTAGAAAGTTGTGACTTCCATCCAATTATTGGAATAAAAGTTCTTGTTGAAAAGTCTCTTGTATCTATCTTAGACAATAAGCTGATGATGCATGATTTGATACAAGAACTAGGGTGGAATATTGTTCATCAGGAATCACCTAAAGAGCCTGGGCAGTGGAGTAGGTTGTGGCTTCATGAAGATTCAACACACTTGCTGATGGAGAATACAGTAAGAGACCTTATAGAAAAGTATGAACACTCTCAACTTATTTATTTAACCAAGCTAATTCAGCATAATTTTGTCAGCCTTTTAATGTTGTGCTGCTGTTATTTTCTTGTGGTTATTAGGGAACAAAAAAGGTTGAAGGCATAGTTGTGGAGTATCCTGACCTTCGAAGTTAAGATCGAAAGGACATTGGCCTAAAAGAATTGAAGTTGAGGCCTTAAGATTTTACAAAGATGTCGAACTTGAGAATTCTCAAAATTTGTTGTATTTACCTCTCAGAAGACCTCAAATATCTTTCTAACAAGCTCAGCTATCTTGATTGGTGCAGATACCCTATGAAATACATGCCTTCAACATTTCAACCAGAGCATCTTGTTGAACTTCACTTAACATATAGCAGCATTGAACAACTTTGGAAGGGAACAATGGTATAAATATGCATTCTATTTAATTACTCTAACTAAGATGCAAAGTCCTTGAAACAATATATTTTCTGCAATTTCTATCTATCCTTTCCCCCCCCTTTAATAGCATCTAGACATGTTAAGGATCATGAATCTTAGTCACTCGACATATCTAGCCAAGTGCCCAGACTTCACGAGGATCCCAAATCTGGAAAGACTGATTCTTGAAGGCTGTACAGGTTTGGTTAATCTTGATCCATCCATAGAAATTCTCAAGAATCTTATTTTCTTGAATTTGAAGGACTGCAAAAATCTCATGAGTCTTCCAAGTGGCATTCAATTGGAATCTCTTGAAGTTCTTAATGTCTCTGGGTGCTCAAAGCTTAAAAACATTTCAGTTAACTTTGGATATATGAAATGTTTATCAGAGCTTTATTTAGATGGGATTGGTGTAAGTGAACTTCCACTTTCAATTGGACATCTTACCAATCTTGTTTTGTTGAGTCTGAGCAATTGTAAAAACTTGAGAAGTATTCCAGACAACATTTGTCAGTTGAAAGCTCTTACAAGTCTAAATCTCTTTGGGTGCTCCAAACTTGAGAAACTGCTGCAAGACGTGGGTGTTCTGGACTGTTTAAAGGATTCATGGAGTTACTCCCTCTTGCCTTCAATTTTACAAAGACAGAGAGAGAGTCACACAACTTTGGAACTAGAAGCTTTGTTGAGGTGGGGGTCTTTGAAACACCTATTCCTCGATGATTGTAATTTAAAAGCTATCCCCACAACTATTTGCCACATCTACTCGTTGCGAAGTTTAGATCTAAGTAGAAACAATATTGAAAGTTTACCTGCGAGCATGAATGAACTTTCTAATCTGTGGTTCTTGTATTTGAATGGTTGCAAGAGGCTTCAAGAACTGCCAGAGCTTTCATCATATATACATTTTATAGATGCTAATGATTGTACATCATTAGGAACAATATTGAGTCTGTCCAAATACGATCATGTTGCAGAGTTTTCCTTCATGAATTGCTTCAAACTTGTTGAGCAAAACAACATCCTGTCAGAAAATTTTCTTTCAAATCAATTTCAGGTTCTCTGTGTGTGTGTGTGTGTGTGTGTGTGTGTGTGTGTGTCTAAGCATTGTGACCAAGGTTTTGAAAAGTGGTTGCGGTCGCCATAATGGTGGCGGTGGCGCGGTTGCGGTTGCGGGGTGTAAAGGCCGTAGCGTAACAGTTGCGGTAACCGGAACCGTTCTTGGGAATTGTTTTCGCTGTTGTTGGAATCAAGAATAAATGCAAGTGCGAGGATTATTGTATTGAGGTTGGATTTAAATGCCTCGATATTCAAATGATCATTGGACAAAGCCATGAAAACGACCTAACATATTTTGAATATTCGAATCATCAAAACTTGGAAGTTATATTTGTCCCACGTAATGACTTTCCAAGTTCAATGTATGATGATGATATGGAGCAATTCAATGAGGGTAGAATTGAATTTCAAGCTTGTTTAGTTCATTACGGTCATTACGTTGATTGTTTAACTAAAGCAGTAGACGTGGATTTTTCATTAATTGAAGGAGATGTAAAGTTGGGTGTCCGTTTAGTATACGAGAAAGAAGATGACAAAGAAGCATGGAGTATGGACAGCTGTGATTCAGAAGATAACATGGGTGAGTTCCATGGAGACTTGGAAAGATCAGTAGAAGGAGCAGGAGTAGAAGTTGCTAGTTCTAGTACTACTTCATCAAAGAGAAGACACGGTGACCTCAATGACAACCATGACTACGATGCAGCAGTAGTAGCAGCAGGACCCAGTGGCGGATTTGATGATCAGGACAAGAAAGAGGACCACCCCACAGCAAAAGGCTTAGACAGGCGAGACCAAGTGAAAGTGGTAGCTTTGACTATGTACGTACCTTGAACTCAGTTTGCAAATGTCTCCAATCACAAGTGAGGTAAAATTAGAATAAATATGACACATTTATTTAGGAAAATTTTCAAATGGGTTGAATTGATCTAATTTCAAACAAGCCGTCCAAATTTTTAACACAATGATAATAAAATATAGTTATGGTCCTTAGAGAATGTGCTACCTATCAGTTTTCTTCATAAAGTTTGTGATTTTATTCTATTGGTCCCTAAACATACACGAAGAAGACAAAACATAGTCTTACCTTGTTTAGGGATGAAATTGAAAATTTAGAAACTAAAGTAACACAAAATGCATACTTTAGGGACTAATATGTGTTTTATTATTATTAGGTTAATGATTTAGACGATCTTAATGTTTTAGAGTCAGTTAAATGGCCATTTACATTTGTTCCACCGTTCATGATATCATAAATGCATAATATGTTGAATTGTTATACTTCAAATTATTTGTGTCAAGTATCTGCCTTTCTTTCCTCATTTCTAAATTATTCATGATCCCATAATTAATTAATTACTTCTCTATATGTTTCAGGGGTTGAAGTTTGATCAAGAGTCATGGATGTGTTCGTGGGTATTAACTAAAGGAAGACTTTGACCCATGACCAATGAAGACTGTATTTTTGTACATTTTAAATAGAGATAGATTTGGAGGCATGTGTACTTTTGTTGTGGTTGATGTATGGTTAATGTTTAAACTGACCATGCAAGACAAAAAAATTTGCATGTCATCTGTAAATGATGTGTATGTAAATAATTGCATTTGGTACCTCGGTGGATACCATCATTAGACTGGGTATCACACAACTGAGGGAGTATCACTCTTGATTTTTTTACCCTTAAATATTTGGTGAGTTTTAGGAGATGGTGATGGCCAACAGCGAGGGTGCCTGGTGGTGGGGGTGGTCAGAGCTAGTGATCAAAATGTTGCTAAAGGTCACAGGGTGGCCAAAGTGTGGTCGGAGGTCACGGAGGTTGATCGGAGTGTGTCAATGGAGATAGGCTGGTCGGTGGTGACCGGTGGTGGTTGGAGGTGGTGAGGGAGGAGAGATTGAAAACTTATTTTGAAAAAAAAAAACAAAAAAAAAAACTTTTTATTTCCATTTTAAAAAAAAATTAATTCGATTAAACTTCTATGAGAACAAAAACAATATACCAAACAAGTGAAATTAATTCAAAATATAGTGCAAGTGGAGTATGTGTTCTAGTGCAAATAAGGCCACAGTTTTCACTTGCACCAAATCACAAGAACATAAATCTCCCAAATCTTCTTCCTTGGTCATTGTCCTTCAAAACTGCTCATATGGAAATGGGCAGCATCTTCAAAAACAAAAAGGAACTCAACATTTGCAATTGCAACCAATATTTTAGTTAACCATTCAACAATATTCTCAAGCAACTCTTGTACAAGCATGACATGATACTACCACCAAATTAGAGGTTGTGCTTGCTTTTAAATTTGAAGCGAGCTTCAAATGTTGATAGGCAAGTATAGTGCTCTTTTTTAGCTATGATCAAGATCAAGATAAAGACAACTGAGCCCATTTGATAATTTGCCATTATCGCCACAAAGAAGAGCTTTCACAATTTTCTTACACCATAGAAAAGATTGAATCAAAGATTAAGAAGTTTCAAACTTTCTATTACATGTCCATTGGAACTAGTATTTGAGTGTTTTTCTGCTTGGGCTGTATGAGGTGGAATTCTCATATACAGTTCTAAGAGGGGGAGTCTAACCTTTCTCAAATAAAGAAGTGTGAACATACAGTGCTCATCAAAGCTGCAGCAATGCTTTCTCAGAGCTTGACTTCCACATCAACCTCGGCAGGAAGGTCAAGCTGCATCAAGGAATCAATCATTTGGGCAGTCGGGTATAGAATATCAATGAGGCACTAATGAGTTCTGATCTCAAAATGGAACCTGGCATCTTTGTGGACATGTGGAGATTTAAGTACACAATAAATTCGCTTCTTGATTGGCACGGGACCCATGGTCTTTGCACTGGTAGTCCTTGCAACATCCGTTATTTGCTTGCATGAATCCTCTACAAATTGCACCCAATATGACCCAAGTTTAATCCTAATTTTTTGCTTCAGTGCCATCTGAGAATTGGCGAAAAACATAATAAGACGACCGGAATGTCACTAAGGCCAAGTTTGGAAAGATAAGAAAAAGTCAAAAAGTTAAAAAATTACTCAAAAAGTTAAAAAGTTAACACTATTCACCAAAAGTCAACAATTACGGCTGCACAACTCCCAATCCTAATTTTTCCCTACAAACCAATTTTTACAATTTTTTAATACACATTTTTCTATAAAAAGTCAAAAGTTAACCCAAACATCCATATTTTTTCCCTCAATTTTTTAGTTCAAAAAGATAAAAAGTGCACTTATTTAGAACATTCCAAACAACCCCTAAAACTACTGAATATTAAAAAATATATATAAGATATATCTAGTCGAAAATTCAGTTTCATTTAGTCTTGAACGATTTACATAGACTTCCAAGATATTTGACTAAACAGATTGCCATCAAAAGCTTCAATTAAACAATTGACACTTATCCAATGCAAGACTATTTTCATGAGTAGTTATTCTTTTTCAAAAGATTATCATGTTGGGTTTGTGGCGCCTCATTCGTATTGTACACCTCACCATGAAGTTGTGAATCCAACTTGGCAGTGAGTTGGGCGGAGAGGTTGCTGGCGGCAGCCAGCCTGAAGGTGGGAGTTTGGGCCCTGTGAACCCTAACATTTACATTGTTGTTTAAACAACAGCCAATTTGTACTCTTTTTCTTTTCTTTTTTCAATATAGTGAAACTAGTGTGAGCCAATCTTGCCAAACAGCGTATCTCTATATGTCATGCTTTTTTTATTTGTAATTGATTCTTCTTGCTATTGTGTATTTGGTTAATTCCTCAACAAATCACCATTCTTCTATTCTTTCTTATCAAATGTAAAAACATATGTAATCTATTTTTCATAAAATTTGAGAGACGAATGTTATTTAGAGCAAGAATCACAGTCCCAATGCAAATGGTTGTGGAGCTTATACCACCCAAATGGTTATTTTAGGCTCTATTTCTACATACAAACATAATGTCCTTTCTTCCCTTCAATTTTTCTCAGCAACCAAACAGAGCATAAACGGTGAAAAGATTACCGTCTCAGCATCGACCCCAATACTGAGCGGCGACGAACCAGGATCCACCGATCCTCCAAACTGAACATCCCCAAATTAACATTAATCTCCTCAAATTCAGAGAAACATAGAGTATTTCATGACCCAAAATTGGAAGAATTACAAACCTCAGTCGTAGCAGAGTCAGGACCATCTAGGGTTTCTTGGGAATCCAAAACTTCAGGTGCAGCAAAAACCCTAAGGTCATGTTTGTTTGGGTGGACATGTGCTTGGGATTGGACTAATAGTCCAATAAAATTATTTATCTGATGTTTGGTTAAACAATTGAAGTATGGACTAATTATTTTAAACTTGACTATTAGTTAAGATAGGATACATAATCCAACGAATTCGTAGTCCTAGGACTATTAGTCATGGAAATACTAATCCAGTCCACTCAAACAAACATGACCTAATAGTAGATGATCGAGAGGGTTTTAGGCCTTTTAGCGGCGTATAAGTTGAGGGCAAAGAGAGAAGAGAAAGCTTGGGCTTGATTCTCTCTCTTACAACCCGACCAGGCTGTGCTTGCTTGCTCTGGTATGCAACGGTTTCGCAGTGTTGTCCAAATGTAAAATTTCTTTTTACCCTATTTCAATAATTTTTAAAAAACAATTTATTTGGACCAAAAATATTTAGATAAATATAATTTTTTTAAAAAAAAAAAAAAAAAACATATCGAGAGTCTCACAAATTTAATAGAATGCATTAGAATTTTTTTTTTCAAATTTTAATTTATATAGTAATGCTTTGCTCTATTTTTATTTGTAATTTAAGGGTTGTTTGAGATGACCTAAATAAGTGTATTTTTTATTTTTTTACGAAAAGATGTGTAAAAAAGTAGAGAAGTGATGTGATGAAAAAAACATAAAAAGATGAATTATTTTGTATATGTCAAACTTGACCTTACTAATCGTGTATATGAAATTAATGTGGTTATCTAATTTATATTTTCACGCTTATATATACACACCCTATGCATTATTTATGTTTAATTTTAATCTTACAAAAAATGGAGGTTGTGTAATAATGCCAAACGCTTGGTTTTTATTATATTTTTTTTTTTCTAAATTTAAGAGTGGTTAATGTAGTTTATAAAAAATTAAATAATAAATTAAATATTATATGTTTTGTTAGGTCTAGAAAATAATTTTTTTATCAAAAACGCTACATACTCTAAATTTTTTATCAAATACTCACATGAACATAATGGGCTTGTTTGGTTTGTTTTTGGGAGAGTTGTTTTTGAAAAAAAAAAATTAGGGGGAGAGTTTAGAAATTTTTTTGGTTTGTTTGGTTGTATATTTTGGGAGAGTTGTTTTTTTAGGAGTTTGTGATGATTTGATATTTTGGGAGAATTTGAGCAGATGTGTGTGAGAGAAAAAGTGATTGAGAAGGAGAGAGAAAAAGTGATTAATTGATGTGTAAGAGAGAGAAAGTGATTTTGAAATTTTTTTGAGAAAAACTTAAACCAAACAATTTTTTAGAAATTTTTTTCTAAAACTCATCTCTAAAACT